ATGGAGTGGTTGATTTGTCCCATACTGCAAAAAGGAATCAACAATAAAAAAAAGAATAGCTTTTTCATTGTGAAATGTTTTATTGTTTAATCGGCTTTTTTGCTTTTTTCCGGGCAGGGTTATTGTCCGGGAAGCGGAATGTATCCATTGGATTTTTCATCGGCATATTCATGTTTTTCATATCCTCCATTTTCATGGTGCTATCCATTCCCGGCATATCCTTCATGTCTTTCATATTGTCCATGCCTTTCATGTTTTTCATAGTGTCCATACCGGGCATATTTTTCATATCCTTCATATCTTTCATGTTATCCATCCCCGGCATATTCTTCATGTCTTTCATGTTGTCCATTCCCTTCATTTTCTCCATGTTCTTCATACCTTTCATTGTATCCATTCCAGGCATATTCTTCATCCCCGGCATTGAATCGTTCATGTGTGTATCGTTCATGTGTGTCGTACTGTCTCCATCCATGTCCATGCCTTCCATATCTTTTTCATCATGACCGGCACCATGGTCTTTCATTAAATACCTGCCCATAGGCCCCACACCTGCAACATGTGTAAGTTTTGCCCCATGATGCCCCGCAATGGATAGGAAAATAGCAGCGATGATTGCGGCAAGCAGAACGATTAGTTCGTATAGTCTTCTGTTGATCTTAAAGAATATCCCGATACTTTTAAGTAATAAAGTAATACCTGACATCCATAAGGTTAATTGAGCATATTTCTCATGTTCCTCAAATATTTGCATAGCGGCCTTTGGTGCATCGGCAGAAGGCATTGCGTGAAAAATAGTACTGGCCGCAAGCGCAGAAAAAAATGCGGCTGCCATTATGAATAATGTGGCCCAGCAGATTTGCCGCCAATGGGGCTTCCATACAACCATTATCTGGAAGGCTGCTGCAAGTAATATTAGTACAATTGGGAAATGTACTACAAGGGGATGGAGCGATGGAAAGTCTTTAAACATAAAGTATTTTTAATACTGTTTAATAATTAGCCACTTTCTCCAGGCTGTCAACTGCGAATTTTAAATCAAGGCTTAAGTATAATATCAAAACTTATTTTCAGTTTCTCCCATGCAACATCAATTGTTGTTTTTCCATTCTTCTTATCCGTTATAAAATATTGCAGCCTCTC